TCCTCCTCCTCCTCCTCCTCCTCCTCCTCCTCCTCCTCCTCCTCCTCATTCTCCTCCTCATCTGCCATCCCTTTCCCTTACGACTCATCCTCGTCGCACCACAGGACGTGTCAGCAGAGAGGTCTGGCGCATTCGCCTGGTAATTCAGCACGCTGTATAAGCCCACAGCTTGACATGCCCAAACTGCTATACCGATTGAGGACGGGACGCTTCAACACCTGGCTTCATCAGATGTTTGGTTGCTAAGCCCAAGAACGCATCCCCGCAACGCGAATGTAGGTCGAATGATGCTCAATTTCGTGTTCCCGCCCCGGGTTTGGCTGAACCGTCGGACCCTGCCGAGGTGTAGAAAAACAGCAGCTACTGGGTTGAAGGGCGGTTCCTGTTCGACGGCGCCGCGCTTCACTTCAATGTGTATGTACATATGCGCACACATGCATACAGATACACCCATATGAAACATTTGCCACTTTGCCTCGCAGCAACATAACAACATACAGACGGACCCAGGCCAGAAGAACACCCTTCAAGAACATGGGAGCATCCGCGGGCCAAAACACCCTAAACCCCAGGATCATTCGAGGGTGCCCTCTCCCAGGATGCACAAGAACGTCCAACAAGCAGGAAGAACATGATGGTACCCTCCCCGAACCGACCTCGATCTTACACCTCGGTCCGACTGTACGCGGTCGGATGTCAATGCTCCCGTTGATAGGCTAAGTCGCATGCGGCTCTCGCCATGCATCTCCATGAGGCCCTCGCCTTTCCAGCGGGCGGCCGCCGTGGTGAGAGCACGTGCAGGATTGACTTCGGCGGAGGAAGCGTGGAGCGGGAGAGCGTGTTTCACCATCAGCGGTGCTGGGTGTGTTCTGGTCTTTTTCGACGAGCGACTTGTGAGCTACGTTGGCCCTCCGGGTCCGAATCTCCCTCCTCCTCCTCCTCCTCCTCCTCTTCCTCCTCCTCCTGCTCCTCCCCCTCCGCCTCCACCTCCACCTCCTCCGCCGCCGCCTCCTCCTCATCATCCTCCTCCTCTATACGTTTTCCGCAAATATAAATTATCCCTGTCGCACCACGAGGCGCGTCGGTAGGGCGGGCCGGGCGTTTCGCATGAGAGCTCCTCACAACGTCTGATCCTAAAGCTGGAATCCAAATGTGAAAGTGCTTCACGACTGGAGGGCGGGCCGCTTTCAACATGTGGTTCTCACCTGAGCGGCGCGCGTACCCAATATTAAACACTGCATGGGCTTTACGGATGGAAGACGGGTCGTTTTCACAATGTGGCTCTCGCCTTGGCGCCGTGCACATTCTCAAAAACCACAAAAAAAACACGGATGGAGGGCGGGTCGTTTACAAAATGTGACTCTCGCCTTAGCGCAGCGCACATTCTGACACAAATGCAGGGCTCCTCTTCAAAACGTGTCTCTCGCCTCGGCGCCGCGCACATTAAATTGAAGAAAAATTAACAGCGGTCTCAAGGACTCTCGTGGTTAACGTCTCAGAAATGATGTTTTGGCACGACGTTGGACTGTCAGGGCGCAACATGAGTTGATTCGTGGTGTTGAAACCCCAAGAATGGCATCATGGTACGACTCAAGACCGTCAAGACGCAACAGTAACGGTGATTCACGGCGCTGAAGTCCCAGGAACGATGTTCTGGCACAGTTCTGGATTGTCAAACTGTCGTTGTCCAACGGGGTACTTCCTTCAGTGAAACTGAATCCTTGTAGGAGCCTATGATGGGGGAACTTGGAGAGGGGGGTTATTGTAATATCGGTGATGGGTCTTGGGCTTACACTGGTCCTCCTCCTCATTCCCCTACTTCTCTTCGTCCTCCTCTCCCTCTACCCTTAGTCACTGGAGAGGAAGGGGGAGAGAGAGAGAGAGAGAAAGAGAGAGAGAGAGAAGAAAAAAAAAAGAGAGAGAGAGAGAGGGAGAGAGAAAGAGAGAGAGAGAGAGAAACAGAGATAGAGACAGAGAGAGAGGTACCGTAGCACCCCGCAGATGCGGATGAGAGTGAGGGGGCGGTGGGGACGTCGGCAATCTGCGAGACTCTGGAGAAGCCCGCCGCAGGTGCCAAAGTTTCACATATCAAAAAACGAGCCCGCCGCAGGCGCCGATGTATGCGATAAACCAATGTGGGTAGGTCGCGGGGTGGGTCGCGGGTGGGTCGCAAATGGGTCGCGGGTGGGTCGCTGGTGGGTCGCGGGGTGGGTCGCGGTGGGTGGGTCGGGTGGGTCGCGGGTGGGTCGCGGGTCGCGTGGTGGGTTGCGGGGTGGGTCGCGGGTGGGTCGCGGGGTGGGTCGCGGGTCGGGTGGGTGGGTGGGTCGGGTGGGTCGCGGGTGGGTCGCGGGTGGGTGGGTCGCGGGTGGGTGGGTCGCGGGTGGGTCGCGGGGTGGGTGGGTCGCGGGTGGGTCGCGGGGTGGGTCGCGGGGTGGGTCGCGCGGGGTGGGTCGCGCGGGTCGCGGGTCGG